TTTCTTTAAGTAAGTAGAGTCTCTGGCTTAACTTAGAGCCTGTGTCTCATGATTACCTCTTTTCTAGGCTTTAAAATTAGATTGCTTAATCTCAGCAAGATACTTCTTCTGCAGCATTCCTCTTAGGAACGCAAGAAACCAGTCTGGATGCCCTGTGAGCAAAAACATTTTGTACATCAATGTGAAGTGTCTGCTTCTTCATGCACAGTGTATAGCATATTTAGAATGTGTCTCTATGCAAAGTAGGTATTTCTGGTTAGTGTTATTTGGGGAAAAACATGAAATTTCTTAGTTTAAGCACCAGATTAACCTTCATAAAGCATATACATGTCACTTTTTTCCCAATTACCTAGCAGACTGTAGTGTCTGAATCATTTGTCCTTAGACCCTAGAGGACACTCAACTTAACTGCAACAATTCTGTCCAAAACCAGAATGTAGGTACTAAATGATTCAGAGACTGAGCCATCCTTTGTGTACAATCCCTTTAACACAGTCATTTATAAATGAAAACAGTCATTTAACACTTGCAAAAGGAAGTCCTGCGTAGACTGTGGAACCTATTGGGAAAACCTTCTCCAAAGCACATGCACTTACAAATCTGTTTTGGGTTTTTTTGGTGTATGACTAAATAGTTCCACTGAGAGGGAAGAGGGATTACAGCTAAGCAATGTTAATGATCAACAACTTGGAACCCATTTCTTTATCTAACACATGAAATGGTATAAAGCTTCAAACATCAAAGAGTACAGGAGCTTGTAAGGATGTGTATGTTTCATGCCTACGTATTTCGTTTCTCTTCATCTTGTATTGGTATTTTGCACTGGTAGCACTCTGATGAAAATTTGAAGACTTTAAACGTATCTATAAAGCTGATGAGGCAGTGCTCATCAAGTAAAAATAAAATATATACAGAAGGCATAATCAACACTCTGGGGTATTAAAGTAATGTGTTGGTCTGTTTCTTCAGCTCTAAACAGATGGAACTCACCACAGGGAGCAAAATTTGAAGAATTAGGTCACAGACATGGGCTATCTGTGTGCAGTGATACCTGAATACTCTGGACCTGCAAGCTGCCCAGAATGAAAAAGCACAGGTTGATGCCTGCTTAGAGAAAGGCAGGGAATAACTCCAGATTTGTATATCTGACCGTATGACTTAATCATATGACGTTCAGAGGGTGAGTTTTGACTTTGGGGGTAGCATGTAATAGTTGTCCTCAGTTTAAAAAAAAAAAAAAACCAAAAACCACCAAAAAACCTTCATGTCCTTGTACTAGAATTCAGTGGTTTGAAAATACTGACACCTAGCCCAAGATCTGTTTTCTTGTTGACTTGGCTTATACTTCGGGCAATTTAATTTCTTATAACTCAATCCTGTTTTCCCAAACTCTTAACACTAGACAGTGATAAAAGAGTAATCAGTAGTGCACTCCACCTGTTCTTCATAGAAGCCATTTACTGACTCATTTCCAGTGGTGCATGCATTTGCTTGCAACACAAAAGATACCAGCTCTTTCCAGACTGAAGGCATGGGGCCTGACCCTGCAGCGATTTTGCATCTGGAACTGCTTTGCAGTTATTTTACACTAGCCTAAAAAGACATTGATACCAAAGTGCTTTGGTATGAACAACATTAACCTGAGAGACAAGGATCAAGATGAAAAACATTAAATAATCATTGTTAAAGTTGCTAACCCCAAACTCAGGCCCTTTTAAAGTTGTGTGAATGATCGTCGCTGGTAGTAGCGTCCTGTAAAGTTCATTTACTGGAACATTGTTGACAATGTTTTAAAAGATTTGGTAAGTGAGATTGCTAATACCAGGGAAAATGTTTAATCGACACTAATTAATCAATTTGTCATTAACCTAGAAACAATAAATGAGCATTTCCTATTGAGAGTTGCATATGACCTTGGATTATTAGAGAAAAAATCACTGTGGAACTACCTGGAGAATACTAGAAAATACCTTCTGACTCCCTTTTTATAGGAATGGCAAGGTACGTAAACAAGAGCCATCTTTCACTAAATCAAATGCTACATAAAAGAACAGGCATTCCTCCATTCTTCCAGCTGCTTTCCCCACTTCCCACCAAGGTATGAAAAAGGAATTGTTTGCTTTACTAATGTATTCTGCAGTCTGATAAAAGTTTTTTCTCCCTACAGGCCTTATCTCAGTATGTAGACCATTATAGCTGTAAAAACATAACTACTTTCTTCCATAAGTGATAAGAATATGGGTTGGTCTTCAAGGAACTAGAGTATCTTGTATCTGCTGGATGTACAATAAAAACTTCCCTCACAAAATGCAACAAGAACACAGACCCCTACAAGGTCTGAGGGAAGATACTGGTAACAAAGAAACACGCAGACTGTGCTTGAAAGAGACAAGAGGCTGACTAAGCTAGATAATATGGTTTGGTACAGAGAACTCTTAGCTACAACAGATGTCAAAGTCTATTTGAAATTTGTGCAACCAACTTGAATTGTCTGGGCTTTTGCCCCTCATATGGTAGAAAATAATTTCAGCTTAAAGCAAAAAATAACACAAATCTTGTTCAAAACACAACTTATTCCATAAAGCATTGCAAGATGCCAGCTGCTAACTTGAGTGAGCGTTGTAGAAATGTAAAAATGCATCACACAGTAACCAGTGGTAAGCTTCTTGATACTTGTATGTGTTACATACTTATGATTTTACTGGTAACTGTTGCACTTTTCAGTCATGTCCTATGGAAGGATCTGAAATGAAATTTGTCTATGTTCCCACAGAAAAAATTTTTTTAAGAAACTTTTTCATCAGGTTTATTTCTTATCTTTCATCTCCCTGGTAAGCCTATTCTTTTTTTTCAGTTTAAGTAACAATAAAAGATGTCTAGCTGAGACTCTTGACATCTTCACATATCATTAATAACACGATATCACCAGCATTTAAATAACTCAGTAGGAACTTGGCCAGTCACATTAATTCCCTTCTCTTTCTTCACTGCTTTTTGAAGCTCACCATCAGAAGTTCTATCAAACATATGTCAGGTGTGATAAATGATGTGCTTTATTTCCCTTTACTGGCTCAGGGTAACATTTTACCTACAGGAGGTAATAGATCAGAACACTTGCGGTCACAGAAAATACTGTCCTCAGATGGGCCCCTGAGTGGATGCTATATTTTATAATGTACCTTTACATGGACTCAGGTATTCACACAGCCAAAATAGCTCCTGAACACACTGGTGACCATAATCTGAAGTGGTCCATATTAGCTGCTCACATCAGTGCAGTTACCTGGAATTAATTAACTGCCGTTAACAGGAAATGCAATCTAAACAGTTTTTTAAAGTGAGTTGCAGCTACTCTGGGTTTGGGCTGTGAATCCATTGTCTAACTGGCCTGTTGTAACGTTTGAACCCATGATACTAGCTCTGGTCCTTGTCCCATTGCTCCCTCTCTGTACTGCTAGTGTGTCCTACAGTTCTTGTCCTAAATTGTCAAGAAAGGGGGAATCCCTCTCTATTACTGCTTAGGTCTGGAAAAGCAGTAGATACTGTACTTCAAAAATTTGTCAGAGAAGAGGACAGGAACTGTAGAACAGCACAGCTACAGGACGTGGATTCTTACCACGCAGCTTAGGAAATGGCTGCGATCACAACACAGTTTCAAAGTATTTTGCTTTGTAACTCAGGCTGCTGCAATTGGAGTGCTGTCAGCACCCGTGGTGTGTAGGAACTGCTTGTATGTTAGAATCTCTAATCCTTGCAAGGTAGAAATAAATAGCAACTTTCCTTTGCCCTGCCTGGGGTTTGGGTTTTGGGTTTTTTTAGCGGTGAAGGGGGGTGGGTAGTGTTGCTTTTAATTTCTGTCCTTTCCAGGCTCCACCTCCTTGTAAATCTACCCGGCAACATTGCTTTGCCTGAACAGGTACCTGCAGAGATTGACCCACGAGCAGTTATTCCCTGGTCTGAAAGAATAGTAGCTGAGGTGAAGGTGCACAGCAGGAGCAGTCATGTTACCAAGTGACCGTCGCAGCTACTTGTCTTTATGATCCCAGCCAGAGTCGAGATCCCCAAGTTCTCGTAAGTATGCCAAAAAGGCCGAGCACTACACCAGGACCCAGCACCTCTTTTTTCCAAGTCTCGCTGCTGCACGACGTTTACGTTGAACAGTACACGGGCGAGGCGAAGGACATCCTCCCCCTCTACCGCACTGGTGGGGAAAGTACCACCTCCTGGAAAAGGCACGTCCTGCAGAAAGACCGTACTCGACTCCAATACGGCTTGGCTGTCTCAGCAGCAAAATATTTTGATTTAATTTGGTCTGGCTGTACTGCGGCTGAAGTCAGACGGGAAGTCAGACGCGGGGCGGCGAAGAGACGATTCTGCTTTTCTCCTTCAGGCGCGATCGTCCCGGCGCCCTTCTCCTGGCTCATGTGCTTGGGTGCCCCGGAGCCCCACAGACCGGTCGCGCCGGCGCTGCCCCTCAGAAGCACCTCGCCAGTCCCCGGACCCGCTAAGGCCCGGGAGGGACCCGACCCGCCTGTGCTGCCCCCCTCCGGCCGGGAAGGGGAAAGAGCTCTGGCCGCTCGGGCGCCCCGGAGCGGAGCGGTGAGAGGGGCCGCTCCGCGCTCCGCCTCCCGCCGGGACCGGCGCTCTGCCCCCGCCTTGACGGGCG